AAGATAGGCAAATTCACGTAGTACAAAAATTTTAATTAGTGATTGGCGTTGCGCTGGAAATGACCAGTGACTGATATGCGCATATATTTGCGCCACATATTCCTGGACACCCTATCTATATAGTTTAAAACGCGTAAATGTAACGCGTAAAAACACGTCCAATAAAAAGATAAGACCTGGATCGGATTATTAAAAAAAATCTTTTTTTTTCAATAAGTTTTTTACATAAAAATTATTAATACTAGCATTTTCATCATGAACACCATCGTTGAACCCTACCCTGGGCGCAATGGTAAGTGCTGGATAACAATTTAGAAGAGAAAAAATAAATAAATTCTTTTTTTAACTGTCAATCCAACTTTTCTAGTTTTAATCTCCTATTTGAAGGAGTGCGCAGTATGGTCCTATACCGAATTTTTTGGAACTTTATAAAGATATTATCATTGCTTCACCACCTATTTCAAAGAATTGGCAGGATCTTGATGTTACCTGGTCTCGTAGATTTTTAAGGGAGGCAGCTGAACTGAATCCAAGCAACTTAATGGATTTAGAAGAAAAGGTGATGTAATAATATCGTATTGTAATTTTTGTAATAGGGAGCTCCAATCCACTCTCATCTGGATTAGGAGTATCGGCTCTCATCCTGAGCCCTACCATTGCGACTTACTTTTTTTTATTTTTGTTTTGTGATTAAAATCTTTTACTTCTATTGTAAAGACTAAGTATTAATTTTCTTTCATATATCTATGACAGGTAAAAAATCAACGTGGAAACAAAATTTTACAGTCTTATTGGGAAGGAATAATCTATGAGCGGGCAAGGTTCTTCATCATTTATTTATATGAAATTGTCACACAAAAAAATAATGAATCTCTTCATTGTTGATTTCAAACATGAATAACACTAATCTTGTAACAGATGACAGTAAAACGTGCACATCTCATTGGTAGTACTAATATATATCGTGAAGCTGCAGAGAATAATGCCCGAGAAATTATATCTGAAGGCTTTTCCAACGTTTTTGTTGAGTGTCCTATTGAGAATGATTTTACGAATAAACTCAAAAGAAAATTCGAAAACCAGCTCCACCTGCTAAAAAACACATTCTAGAATGGAAGGTTTTGAATGATGAAAAATTTATTGCCGATGTATGTGGTTGTAAGCTTTCTAAATTCATATGGCTGAATAACTAACGTTTACGTGTACTGTACAGGAATGGATTATCGATGACCACAGTATAACAAAGTCATTTTTAGATTTTAAGAGTTTAGCCATTTCTTTGGCTAATGAGGGTAAATTAACATATGCTGCTCATCCATCAGAAATATTGTTAGTTTTTTTTTTACCTTTCTTTTGATGTAGACATGATACACGGATGATAAGATTGCTAATATATATTTTGAAATATATATTTTTTTTTGTTAAATATAGATCATTAAATTCAATTTTTTTGATGGAGGAGAATTCCATACGAACGAGACTTGATATCCCATTATCTATTAGGAAGCAAGCTTTTGGCCAGATGAGAACTTTATATCAAAAAAATAATCTAAACAAAATTATTAAAGATTTCTGTCACGAATGTTCTGATATCAGCAGAGAAAATGATAAAGACCAGTTTGAAGACTCGATAGAACAGTCATATTATAAACTTAAAGTGAAATTGGATGATCCTGATAAGAAATTGTTAAGAAAATGCCAGAATGTGTGGAAACATCTGTAGGTTAATTTCTTAACTTGTATTTGTTGTTATCTAAGCAATTCCAAATTTAATTATATTAAACCTCAATAGTTGTGAGAATTGGAAAACTTCATTTGATGACAATAGAACAGTAGAAGATACTCATGTTCATGAATTATTGCATCCACTTTTAAAGCCATTCTTCACTATTGAGCAAGGGCGTGATATTAACTGGTAAAAAATATTAATGATCAATTATGTTTGTTGGACATTTAAAATTATATATTTTAATGACACCTATTTATTTTACTACAGGGCTAACAAGGTGTCCATGGCAAGTGCTGAACGAAAATGTAATGAAGAAGGCGATGGTCATAAGCCAGATTTCATGGTCTCTGTAGACATCAATGGTGGCGATGATAAATTTGAAATACTATATGGATTATTTAAGTCTCCAATAAAAGCAAATACCTATTTAGTGAATGTAGATTTGGTAGATTTGGGAGTTTGATGAAAGATTCCCTTAATGAACTATATACTAACTATATTAACTTGATGTAGCAGTTTTCGGTATACATTGTTTTGGTATGGTATTTTTAACCTAACATTCTTTTTTTTATGGATGTGTTTTTCTAACAATCCTGAAAATTTTTTTACTGGCAGGCCACAATTTAAGAATATACGGAATGGATTTAACTTATGATGGTCTTTACAGAATGTACATGTTAGGTGAATTTGAGTTGCCAAGGTTCAATATTAGTTATCCGTTAGTTGAATATGCATTGTGTGAAATTGAAAATCTAAGGGTAGATATTACTTTAATATTATGTCAAAATGACTTTTTTAAATTAAATACTAATACTAATTAACAATTACAGTAGAGTATATAAACAAAATACCGCCTTATTTATCAACAACTGATGATTATCATACACCAACAAATAAACAATGCATGAATCGGTCAACCTAAATTTTTTGTAATTATCAGGTTAAGTTACAATAATTATTTGAAATTATGGAATTATATACAAAAGCCAAGATGTTTATTAATATACAGTATATGTATATTTAAATGATTTGCTTTTCTCTAATAAGATAATATGATTTTATCATTAATAGAATAAAAAAACAGCATTTATGCTTTAGCTTTGAAAGTATCTGAAAATTTGGCAATTGAATTTTATTAATTTTTAAAAAGTTGTTAAAAAATTTTAGCTGCCTTTGCTATTCCTGAAAAAGTTTTATTAGTAATTGCTTTAACAGTATATGCAAGATTTAAAACTTCTTTACTAGTTTAGGAAAGGAAGAAGTTGCAAGAAATTTGAAAATTTTGAAAAATTATATAAGTTATCAAAATCAAATCAAAATTATATGAAATCAAATGATTTTATTATTAAATCATATTAACAAAAATTATATATTTTCAAATTGAAATTTTAAGTTTATGTCTTAATATTTTATTAATAAAATCATGATACATATTTATTTTTATTAAAAGATAAATTATACATTATAATCAATTTTTGATTATTTTTATTATTTTTACTTTGCAATTTTTATATAAAAACTTACAAAATTAATTAATATAAAATTAATATATAATTTCTAGCAAAAAGAATGGTGAAAACATATTTTAATGGTATGTATAAACTTTATTTGTTTTTATTATTTATAAGACTGATATTAATAACAACTTTTATATTATTTAATTAATATTTGGTATATCTTCCTTCTGCATTGATACATGCTTTAACCTGACTTAGCTTTCAATACACTGAAGTAACATGACGTCATCAAAATCATCTCATTTCTGCTAGATTGTATTAAGGAATACATTGTAGGTATTTTTTTTTGCTACTAAATACTTGATCTTTTTTTCCATCTTTTCTTTTAATACAGCCCATACATTTTTAATAGAGTTCAATTCTAGGCTATATGAAAGCCAAGAAAGAACTTGTCTTAGAAAATGTTTTTTCAAATCTCTCTGAACATCATGTGAGGTGTATTTTAGATCATTATTTTGTTGAAAAAGCCAGCTGTGTCTGTATAACATATTCACATTATTATATAGATGATCATCTAAGATTTTTTGATAAAATAACAATCCAATTTTCAGTAAATAAATGAATACTAATTTTTTCTTTAACACTAATCGTTATCCAAATATGAACCTTAAATAGATACTTTACCATAAGGCAATTGGTTATACATTGTAAAACTATGCATATATGGTATTTCTAAATATCTAAAGTATTGTTTCATCAGAAAAAACAACTTTTTTCAATTGTAATGTGAATGATCATGTATCTAAGACAAACAAAAATCCTTCATTTTTTAGGTTAAGAGAAAAACCTTTCTTGGAAGAATAGAAATATATCTAAAATTGTTGAACTTATGATGTATTGTATATTTACTGACATCAAAATTAAAATCTTTTTTTTCTAATTTTGCCTTAAGTTTGCCCGTTATAGTAAAACGAAAAGTAACTGATAGAAATTTTGCCAGTTTTATTTATTAAACTGACATATCATAAAGGAATGCATAATCAATTAAAAATTTCCTTTACATTACACATTTTTTGATTCTAAAGTGACTTAACAGAATTTCTTTGTATTTTTAAAAAGCTTGGCATAATTTCAAAAAGAAAATCAAAATCAAAATAAATAATAAACCTTATGTTTTTAACTTACCTTTTTAATTCAGATTATAATGTCTGATTTAAGCATATAAATAAATACTTAAATCCAGAAAGTGATAAAATCACAGCTTAAAATAAATGCGATCTTCTATTATCATTCTTTTTACCAAAGACTGTATAAGGAGAAGTATATATAAAAAGTATTAGTAAAGATAATAAATATAATAGTTCTAATGAATATCAAATTTAAGTTTAAAAAGATATATTTTAATATAGTGTAAATGGCTTAGTCACATTAAATGACTAAGTCACATTAAAATTTATACTAATTATTTTTATATTTAATTATTATTTTATTGGCTAAAAATTTAATTATGTGATAATTTTTAATTTGTAACCAATTTTAATCATGATATTTCATATTATTTTAATAATAGTTTCTTTATTATAATAACTATTAAAATTTAAAATTTATTATTAAAACCAAATTTATTTATTATATATACATATTATATAAAGAAATTTTATTTAATTATATTACTCTATTTTTAAACTATTCAATAATTTTAAGGAAGTTGTATTATATGTATTAGATTCTATTAGTCTAACTTAAATTTTATATTATTTTATATGTTATATAAGTACTTACAAACTTAGACTTTCAGGTAAAGTAACATTCTTTGTAGTTAAACATTATTAGTCTTATCATTAAATTTTTAAAATAATTTGAAAATATATAAAATAAAATTTTTAAATTATAATTAGCTAATTAAATGCTATCATATAATTTATATATATTAATTATGTTCTTTTATATGATATTTATAAAGCTGAAAATTCTACTATTACTATTAAATTGATATTACCAAATTTTTAACTACAAAAAAACTTTATAATAAAATTAAATAAAATAATATATTATATTAAAGATTACATTAAAAGTTATCAAACAACATATTTTTTTAATACTTTTATAATTAAATAAAATACCTTTACATTTTAAAGTTACTAATAAATATTAAATATGATAAAACTATTTATACTATATATAGGATGTAATTAAATTTACCTAATTCATCAATATTAATTATATTAAAATATAATATTAAAGAATAAAAATTTTATACTAATTGATAAAATTTCTTATTATATACTAGTATTTTGTTTTATATTTTTTTTCTATCAATTTTTAAATTTAAATATAAGATTTTATTAATATTAAAAATGATACTGCAATTAGTTGTAACCATATGATACTTATTTATTACTGATTGCAATTATTTATAATTTAATTTTTGTTAATATCACAACTAGTTATAATCCTATAATACTTATTGTAACATTATCTTTAATTAATAATAATATAATAATATATATAAATATTAAATTATATAAATTATCTTAAAATTTTTAAAATTTAATATACAGTTAAATATCTATATAGTTATCTTTTATATAAGCATACTTCTTTATAATCACCTAATTTTGTGAAATAGATTTAAATAATAATAAATTATCTCTATATAGCATAGTTAGTATTTGATCATGATCAAGCCTAATTTTTGGCTGTTGGCTGATTTAGCTGATTAGCTAAAATCAGCAACCAAATTACTAATTGGCTAAATTAATTAAATGTTACATAACTTTACCAATTTTGATTTCAGTTTATTTGTAAATTGCAATTTATTGAATTTATTGTAAAATTGCAAAAAAAAAAATTAGTCTACAATGTTCAGAATATTAAAATTCTTGCAAAATAGAATATTTTGAATATTAAAAGCGTTAATTTAACATGCTGAATATCAAAGGTATCAAAATTTTTTTACAATTAACCAATTATATTCTATTTCTTTTATGAGCTATTATATAAAAAAAATTTTTTAGCTGGCCAAACTTAAATAAAATTTGGCCATTTTGGCTATGGTCAAATGATCAAATAATCATAGTTAAACACTAGCCAAATAGCTAAATGCTAATATTACTATATAGTCACAAATCAATTATAATCACTATCACATGAAATTTTTAACCTTCATATCAATTTTATTATTGAAATTACCTTTTTACAATTACTATAATTTTGGTTAAGAAATAATTTTAACTAGAATTACTATATGAATATTATACAAATTATTTTTTATATAAATTTATGTTACATATACTTTAAAAAGAAAATTGTGAAATTCAATTTTGTGAAATGCTATCATCATAAAAGAATATAATTTTCAGTCATTTGATTTATAAATTATAATTCTGGTCAAGATTAAGATAATTAAAAAATTTATACCCTATAATAATTAACCCTCCATAGAATCACCAATTTTTAGAAAATTGAATAATTTTGCATTATATTTAAAATATTTAAAATATTTTTTATGCAATTTAGATTTTAATGATAAAGATAATATAGATACTGATAAGTTGTCCTATAAAAAATTTGCATACGTTTTTTCATTATTATAAATAAGTTTTGTATACGTTTTTTAAAATTCTGTATCACAT